TCAGTTACTGAGTTATTACTTCCTTACTGTTTTATTTTGGTAGTTATTTGTGTCCTGTGCCTTGTTTATAGTTTCACTTCCTTCCCATCCTTTCCTGATTGCCTTCACCTGTCTCTCCTAACCAGCTGTTTCCATTGCCTGCATTGATCTTCATATCACTGCCACCCTGTGCCATGTTTACTTGCAAGCAAATGTTCTGTTAAAAAAGACAAGTTTTTGTCTTTTGTTTTTTTAAGTTTTCCAAATTCTCTGAGTAATGGTGTTATATAATCACGATTCAATAGTGGCTAAAATACTTGTGATGAGAACATTTGTCCTAACCTAATCTATGTTATAAAGTTTGGACTTAATATTTCAGACACATTCGACAGCAAAAGCAAACATTTGATGTGATCATTCAGGCGTTAGACTTGAAGTGTCACTGAGATATAATGAAACAGCCAGACAGGACATAGAAACAGTCCTTGAGTCTGAAAAACCTTTAAATGTATATATTTTCCAATTAAGCTAGTTTTAAACCTAAAAAAAAGAACTAACTCTAATAAAAGACTAGAAAATTATTGATGTACTAACTGGCTCATCTTTGACGTCTCATGAGAGCCCAGACCAGATGCCTCCATTTTTCATTGAAGGATGTTGGACTCAAAGAAAGATTTTAAATGACCTCTCTCTTGATTTCTGTTAGAGCTAAAGTTTTGTTCTCACAGTCAAAGAGACGGTGCAAAGTCAGATGCAGTGATGCGGGCTGCTGTTGACAGGTGTGCTCTGGGTTATGGGCCAGAGCGATGAAGGGAGTTTAGCCTCCATGATGGATGGAGTGTCTGCTCTACTATGACTGATTACAGCAAGCAGCCAGCAGGGAGACAGGAGGGGCCGCACGGGGCATCCAATCCCGGCTGGGATGAGGCCAACAGTGTGTGTGTGTGTGTGTGTGTGTGTCTGTGAAAGAGAGGGTTTGATTCAAGAATAGGACTGAAGCCAGGGCACCAGAAGTCAGAAACACGGGGTAAGTCATCAATAACACACTAGTTTGAGTTACAGCCAGGCTATCAGCGAGAGAAGAGACAAAGAGAGACAAACAAGGAGAAGGAGCAAGAGAAAGGGGATAGAGTATGAGAGGAGGACCCATAAACTGGAGGTTAAGGGAGACAGGAAGAAAGAGAGGAGAGGCGACAAAGACCCGAAGGACTCTGAGCAACACAAAACTTCAACAGAGATACAATTTTCCAAAAGTGTACCGAGGACAAAAAGGAGGGAAAGAAACATTTTCTACCCTCTTTCATCCCGTCTCTTTTGTCTAAAGCTCGGCTCACACAAAGGCCCAATGCATCACTTCCAGCACAGGGACATCATGTTCAGCTTCAAATAAAAAACA